AAAGATGGCTTGCGCCACGCGTTGTCGAGCATGGCGGATGCGATGGCCATCTTAACCTCTCTCAACCAGAGCAGGAGATTCTCTCTATCCTTCCCTCAAAGATCTTAACGCTCACCATGAGCGGCTTAGGGCGGGGTCACTGACGGTGGCGTCATAGACGCAAACGATGCAGACATCTTCTGCTGTAGGAGCTCTAGCAGCGCGTTTTCGTAATTTGAAAACGCCCTCTAGACGTGCACCGATTGCCTCGGGACCTTGTGCTACAAGGTGTTGCACGCCTTCAGGGCCAGGCAAGGACATCAGCTTGTTAAACCCATTCTGCATGTCCTGGGGCAAAGAGGAAATTCTTCCATCCTCACAGAGGATCAGTCGAAACGACTCAGGTGTAGATTGACTACAAGTGCTACCAAGTGCAGCGGGGCTGCCGTAGCTTAGCGCTTAAGGAAGCGTATTTTAGGTCACTGACATCGTTTTTTACAAGAACCAAGTATGATTTGTTCAGGTCTGCCTGCACCTTACCTACGTTTTAATATCAGTTCTTGAAAAGAAAAAACAAATTCTGCAATATCATTTTTGTCCCCATGTTATAATAACGTCATGATGAACGGCTAAATAGTCATATTCCAAATGCGCACGAGTGCGTCATCGCCTGCCGAGGCAAGCAACAGCATCTTTTTGTCGCCACTTTCTAGCAGCTGTGGACTCCACCGCACACAATTTACGTCGCTTGTATGAGCCTGTTTCTGATCAATAAGAAGGTCAAACGATGTGGGTCTGCCCTTTGGCTGGCCTTGGAATATGCGAATGGCATTGTCGGACGCTCCTGTCACAAGATAGTCACCCTGTACGGACCAGTCCACACTGAAAATGGTGCGGTCGTGGCATTTCGGAAGCTTAAACGCTTGCTTCCACTGCTTAGAACTTATGGCATCCACGACAACCTACTGTTAGCTAAGATTAAAAAGCGTCTTTAATCTTTAACTAATCTCACCTTCCGTTTTCTTCTGATTCCTTGCTATTGACATTGTATTGCCAAACGATCACATCTGCGTCGTCAGAGACCGAGGCCATCTGCATGCCATCTGGACTCAGAGCAACGTTCCACACTGTGGATGTGTGACTTGTCAATGTCTCTTTACAGTACCAGTCATCATCATTTTCGGCCCAGATACGAATAGAATCGTCGTAGCTTGCCGAGATAAGGAGCTCTTCGGTCGGATGCCAGGTCACGAACTTGACGTCCTGCATATGGCCGTGAAGCACCGAAATGCACTCAAAGTCAGTGTCAGCGTCCGCCTCCCATATCCAGACACTTTTGTCGCGGCTGCACGTAGCTAGATAGGCACCTGAGGGGCTCCAAGCCACACTCTTGACTTCGCTTTCATGGCCCTCGAGACTGGAAATGACCTCGTACGAATTACCCTGCTTTTCCCATATTGCGGTGGTCCCGTCAAAGCTCACAGACGCAAGATAACGGCCATCGGGAGACCTAAAGTCGACAACGTAATAGTCAGTATACATGCCAAGTGATTACAAGATTATACGCACCATTCGCACGCTCGAATGGTTCGACTCTGCGCATCTTCCAAAATGACCGTACATTCCCAAGATCCAGTATTGTTGGCGGCCCAGAGTCGAATGGTACGATCTCCACTGCAGGACGCGAGTAATTTACCATCAAATCGCCAGGATACGTGCCACACGCGCTCGCTGTGGCCATCCAGTGCACAAACATGCTCCAGATGCGTCATTCTAGCCACTTACCGTATTTTTTTAAAATTGGCTTACGTTGCAGCAGTATTATAATGTTGCTTGATGTACGCCGACCAACAGGGCGTTTCTTATCATGAGCGCCATGAAGATGAACTTTATTTGTAAGGACTTGCCTACAGATATGGCTAAAGCCAAAGCGGCGGTTTTGCCTGTGGCAGCAGATCCTGAAGAAGGCGGTGTAAGTGATAACGAAGACTCAGAAGACGAGCAGCTGGAGCACGCAGCCTGGCAGGACGTGGATCTCAATCCGGCCGTGGAGTTGGTGGCCAAACTTGTACGCGAGTCACTTGATGCTGGGAAGACATACAATAAAAGTATCACTGCAAAGACGTCACAGATGCTCACGAGCTGTGACAGCTTGCTCTTGGAGATCAAGAGCCTGGCCGAGACCCGTGCCGAGTCTCGCTTGCGCTCTGGGAGAGGACCGGGTCAAGGTAGCACCGGCTGTTCGTGTGGACAAGCTATGGCTATGCTACCGCTACGCAATCCAAGTCATACACTGGCCACTACAACTGATACGACGACTAGTAACCACCACTCATCCAAGACCGATGAGGCCGCCGAAGATCAGACGGACCGCATGCTGGCAAAAATTGAAGCTTCCATAGAGCGGCTCAGGGAAATGGGTGAAATTATCCAAGCAACTAGTATGCAAGGAGAGGCTAACTTAGTTTCGAAAGTATCATTGCAAATAGGCACATTCCAGGCCCTGGAGGCGGCGGTGCAGGCCAGTGCAGCGGCTGCAACAGCCACGGCTATTGCTCAAGAGCGCGGCCGCTCATCGTCTGCCTTTGGACGACTTTATATGCCCCTTCAGGTGCAGAAGCTGCAGGAATGGTACTATTCCTACCCACGCCCACTTCTTGACGAGCTAACACTCATGCGTACGATTCTGAATTATCGGCCGTACGCAAACCCGTTTCAAATTGGCGGTCTGTCACTGGCTCACGTGCGAGACTGGTTTAAACGCCGCCGCTTCCGCGAACGAATGCGCTATGTAAAACTTGCGGTGGAAGCAGGACATGACACTCAAGCTGCGGAGGAGGAGATTGATTTAAGATTAGAGCAAAGGATTGTTCAGCTACGAGCTTCGGTCGACCCCAATGAGCTTGTCAAGGAGGTGGATCGCGTGCGTGCACAAAGCTACCTCTTTGATGCCGCAGTGAATGCTTTCACTCAGCCGAATAATATTCGATCGTTTATTGCAGCATCTTACTCTGTGCCAACAACAGCTGACATGCACGGACACAACGTCTTTTGTCGTGGCAAGCGGCAGCGCATTCAAGACGCAGATCTTGATGATGCCAACATGGTGAAACACGCTACCGTGCTTGAAGTGATGGCTTTACAAAATCGATTGCGTAGCTTGATGGAACAGCCTAAAACAACTACTGTGACAAATGGATTACAGCAAGTAGTCGATTTGTTGCGGGCTATGAAAATTGATCTTGACGTACGTATTCAGTCGGGTCTGGTTGCTGATTTGAAGCAGATCTTAAAGATATATACGAAGCCAACGCTGCTTCGCAAAGCTACCGTTGCACTTATGGAGAACTTAGGAATGAGCCGTCGCACTGTCGTGGAGGAAGACGCTGATGAGGATGTGCCATTGTCTGCTCCAGTAAGTCCAGCGCTGAGCCCAGGACCAAGTTCACAAGGTAAAAAGACGATAAACTTAAATGCTTTGGAAGGTAACTCTGCCGCTTTCGACGATGATTCGTCGCTACTTCTACCTGGTGAGCCGCCTAGTAAGAAAACCAAGGCAAGTGCGCGACCAGCTAAGCCACGCGCGAAAGAAAAGAAGGGGCGCGTTTTACGCCCTATGAAGTTTTCAATGGACCAACTGACAGCACTCGAGGCTTGGTTTCAGCAAAAGTACAAACCTTCACAAGAGGAAATGGAAAATTATCTGGTTCAGCTGAATACTTCACCGCTGCGCGACCTGAAGAAACAAACAGTAGACGTGAGCATGACTCAATTGCGACGATGGTTTAACAAGCGGCGGTGTTTGCGTCGTCCTCCTTTCGCGTTGATGACACAACAGGAAGCGGCAAAAGAAGGCTCAAAGAATCCTGCAGTTTTAAAAGCTGTGTCGGCCCCTACTAACGATGTTGAGCCTATAGTAAGTGTGCAAAGCGCAGAAGAAGTGAATGAGGCAAACGTAGCGCTTGAAGTCCATCAACCTTCTGATGAATCAAATGATAATTCTAGCGACAATGACGACGATGATGACGATGATGACGATGACGACGATGACGATGAAAATGACGATGACAGTAGCGATGATGGTGAACATCTTATTGGTGCAGCTTTAGCGTAAGACGAACAGGTTGAACTATTAGACAAGATGTACTTTGCATGGTCGAAGTAGGGAACATTTGCAGTTATAAAAGTTTAATGTTCTAATAGCAAATTTTATATATATGCTTTTTGAATCTAAGGGTTGTTTCTCGAGATTGGCGGCTACTACAAAAGTTTGTTTTGTAGAAAAAGTGACATTTATCATCGATAAAGACCAGTTTTATTAAGCCTATTTTCCATTTTATTTCAAAATGGCGACGATGAGTAACAAAGAGCTCGACGCCAAGCTGCGCGCACTGAAGGAAAAGTTGCAAGTAGAGGAAAGCGATTGGATCGAACAGGGCCGAAAACTTTATGAGCTTGAGGATAAATTTTTGCGTGACACGTTATTGGAGGGCAATATTCTTACAGGCTGGGGTGAGCCGCGGACAGCACCAGTGAGGATACGTAATGCCGGTGTGCGCAAGCGCAAACGCGAGCGACAAGAGGCAGCAGCTGAGAGGGTTGGAAAGTTAGTCGATCAGTCGACGTCGGCTTTAACAGCAGAGGAGCAGCTTAAAGTCGATCGTCACCGTCTGGCATCCTATTCGTCCATCTATTCACCAGCAGAAGCGCTACACGCGATAATGGAGGACCGCGAAAGAACGCAAGTGGGCAATAAAAACAAGAAAAAAACGTTGTCTTAGCTAGTAGCCAATTAATTTATGATCCTGCTTTCTTTTTGATCGGAGATTGCGAAATGTATATTGTTAAGTTTATGGTTTCACGGAACAAGGCAACGCACTATTGATGTCACGGCGTCGATATGATGCATGACGCTTGCAGGTTGACAATTGAGTGCTGCGCTTGGCCTTGTCTCAAGATAAACTTTAGCAGGTGCAAAACATGAGGACTTCGCCCGCCGCTATCATGACTAGCGAGAACAATAGGAATGTGCCGTATGTGATGTTAACTAAGAAACAAACGTAGCTGATCATTGTGAAAGTCCACGTTGTCACTCTGAACGTAATTGCCCAAGATAGATAGTGGTATAACATATTTTTCAAGATGAAATTGGTGCTCACACGTGTGCCAATGTAGTCCGGGACATCCTCCGTAAACGCTTTTAAGTAGATGCGGCGCAATGCCAACCGGTTCTGATTGCGATTGAGCTTCGTATCAGGCTTAAATTCAGGCAGATAACGTACCAATGTCTGCAGATAATTAACATGATAAACAATGAGGACTTCTAGATGAAACCCACCAAAACTTGCGTGCAACTTACGTGTCCAGGGGTACTGAATAATCGTCCAGGAGGCCACAGCTCGTACGCTCCAAAAACGATGGAGGGAATAACATTTTTTTTCGTATCCTCGCGTAAGTAGAATGGCCCTTTCTTAAATTCTTGCAGCTACAGCAACCAAAGATGTAAATGTACCGTAGAAATGTAGTGAAAGGAAGTCCCACATTACCAGACCGTCCTTTGAGCGCGTGCCTTCGGGTGAGATGCAAACTGAGTTGCCACGCTCATTAACTGACACTGCCAATTCCTTTAAGCTCTTGAGCGCCGATTTACTTAAAGCATTCATATTCAATAATTTACCGATTGTACCATTGTTGTCATTTTAAGTAAGAACATACCGATTAGAACGATCAATGGCCACAAAGTCGAAGCCCCAACGAGAAGACCAGCCGAGAAATGGCACAAGAAAAATACTTTTTTTAGCAGCGAACTTAAAGGCAACCGGCGACGATCCGTTTACGATAAAACCATCAAGATTGGACGAGTGGCTTGTATCAAGAAATTCCGAATTAGTTTACTCATCAGCTCCATCACACCACAAGTCTCACCTAAACATGCAGACGACTGAATCTTTTAGGTTTATTAAGTTCTCCACCCCTTCAGCTTTAACTTGAGTGCAAGCTGTGACACAAACCATAGCAGCAGTACCCCAAGAAACAATATCCATGGGCAAGTAATTCTTTTTCACGCCCATTTTTATGAGCAATGGCGTGAACCATTTTAGTGGTATAAGCACCGTGACACAGCTGAGCCAGCCCACAAGCACCAGCACCATAGTAAGCATACGCACGACCATGTAGATTTTCTCCAAAGGCGAGGAACTAACTGGAGAAACATCCAGCTTCAGCTGCTTGCGTACAGCATCCAACTTTGCATTTGCGTCCTTCATTTCTGGAGCTGTAAGCCACTGACTTTCAATGCCTAACTCATTCATGTGCTCCTCCAGCTGGATACGAATGAGCTCGCTGTCGTGGTAGAGTTTGCGTTTTATCTGGTTGCGTTTGACCAAAGAGCCTTCTTTGGCTAGAGCTAACGTAGCCGGGAGACGTGCCTCCACATCTGCTAGTTTCTCTTCGAATTGTACGTCCTTCAGCACCTGTGCGGGCGTGGCGGACGACATGGCTAAAACGCTGTGTCAATAATTGTCGGCGGTAATTTAATGACATTCATTTTATTGAAACAACTATCGACATTTTACTATAATTTGCCTGCATTACAATATCACGGTACAAATCTCATTTCTAATGCCATTATCCTGTTTCGAAGCAATAGTGAAAGCGATAGCTGTTTAACATTGTCATTTAAATTTTGATTTCTTCTTACAAAGCGTTTTGAAATATTAATCTTTAGGACTCACGTTCTTTAAATGTAGCGAAAAATTATTTCATAGTGTGAAATTCATGTCCAAGAATCTTTCAGCCTACATTCTGACAAATACACACAAACTCACCGTTGCTGCAATGGGAGTGGACGCGTCAACTAAGCTTGCTCTACGCCAAGTGCAGCGCTTTGAATACAAATACTGCTTGGTACAGGATAAGCGTGTTGTTGTCGACGGAATATCTAGCAGCGGGAAAATTTCATTTCGCTGACTGAGTAAGACTTCGTGCCTAATCAACACGCATGTCTTCAAGTAATTGGCGAAAAACGTCCGTAGCTAATTCGCCAGCTCATACGTTTTTGGACACTACGACTGTTCCGATCATCTTCGCCTCACCTAGCGCCAAGTCGCGGTAGTCAACGTTGCTAGTCTCGCGAAAAGCGAGGCTACATGGATTGACTTGGGAATTAAAAATGAGTGATGAGTTAATCTTCTTGTACTATTTCTCTGTGACGTGGTCACCAACTGCTTGCCGTAACGCAGAAGACGATCACGCCAAATTTTGCATAAGATCAACTTTTACATGTCTTATCTCAATCCTACATTCCTATTGGACAATATTACCATGCTGGAAT